GTCTCTTTTCTTAGAATGGGCTGCTAATACTACTGCTGCCTGCTCCTGCTACTGCTACTGCTGCAACTACTGCTACTGCTACTGCTCCTGCTGCTGCTACTGCCCTAATGATAATAACAATGCTACTCATCTTTGGCCAGCGGCCACCTGCTCCGCCCATTGCGTGGTCCACTGCTGCAGACCCGCGCTGGGTTTCGCCGGCACGCCCATCAGCTGATCGACCAGACCCGCCTTGCCGGCTGGGCAAGCGACACAACGCATCGGGCGAGGGGGGTCCCAAGTCCATTGACCTAGTCTTCCAACCGTTAAAAAAAAACAAAAACATGCAGCCATAGGGGTCATCCGCCTCCCGTAAGTCCAACCTTAAGGGAGTGGGAATCAAATAACTTGGCCTCACCCTGGGTAGGGTACACCAAAGCAACGATTTTCGGCTTCTGCGACAAATCTAATTCTAGTCTAACCTCGGAAAAAGAAGAACAGGTCCGGAGACCCCCAAATAAAGGGCTAAATGAGAACAAAACGCGATTGTCTCATTTGGTTTCAAAATACTCCACACCCCTTCTAATTGTCTAGGCCCCTATTCTCCCGCTTAAGGTATGATCGACACATGGGAATAGTTTGGGAGGTCGCACCATGGACCCCAAAGCAACAACAGACTTGGGTGTGTCTCAACATGGGCCCCCTCCCGAAAAAAAGTGGCCCTGGGTAACGTTCTGGAATAGGAGGGTCGACGAGCAAAGCCGCAACATGCCTCACAAACAGATGTGCCATAGACGGACCAAGCGATGGATAGAGGACCCTCAACCCTGAACCGACCGTGAAACTGCTGACATGTTGAACCAACGAAAGCCAAACCCCGAACTCAAACGCCCCAAAGATCTAGCCCCCAGAACGCTTGTTTCTCCCCAATCTGTGGTATGCCAGAAAAATGGCTCGTTGCAGGCCCCGGCTCAAGAACAAGAAAACCAACGCCGCAACACAACGGACAAAACCGCACATCATGCTCGCAAGCTGCAAGTTTCTGACATACGGGGATTACGGGATTTGCCCTTCAAAAAGTTGCAATTTACTGATGGTTTCCATTGAACCGATCGCAAGATCGCCACCTTTGGAGAAAACCAAAAAGGAAATGGCTCGGACACCGTGGAAAAAAAGTCCCCAACGAGAGTACCCGCAAAACGGCTGGTTGCCAGTTGCAAGGGTCGGATTATCCAACAGGTTAAAGCCTGGTTCGGTACCAAAACGCCACTAGGGCAAACAAGACACCTCGAAACCTTTAGAAACACCTCCCAAAAAACTCTGGTAATGAGGGTTATGTTGGGGGCTCTCCAGGGATGCCCTTTCTCCCTCTCTCTCTCTCAAGCGCTATCCCGCAGGTGGGGTGTGTTTGTTGGGTGTGTATAGATTTGCAACTTTGCAACTGCATTCCTTGGATGTTCTTTTTGAAGATCATTCCACGTGAAGATTATATTTGAAGCATTCAACCAAGGACACATACACCCTGCAGAATCCAACGAACCTTCGTTTGCCGAATAATATCCTCTTGTGAATGCTCTTTTCAGGCTCCCCATGTTACTCTGCAGGAGGGAAAGAGCCCGAAAACTGGGTTGTTCAAGATGAAGCCACTACAGCAACCATCTCGCACAAGGATTAAGGATTGATTCTAAGCAATCAAGCGTTTGCTTGGAGGAGATTGCCATTGACGTTGTCTGGAACCAAAAGAAAAGGGGACACACGCATTCAAGTCAAACCCATATATCACCTTGCCCGCCAGGCCACCAATCCAAACCACCAATTCAGAATGGTCTGAATATAAGGACCCATGAACCAAAAACAATTTGTAAACACACCAACCCATGTGGGCCATGGTCAAAGCTCCTAAAATGGCTTGCCAGGTGGATGACCATCCCAACGCTAGCCCCAAGCAAGGACCCATGAACAAACAACACGTGTACACACACACACACACTCCCCCAGACGATTTCAATGAAGCCCTCAGGACCCTGTTGGAAGACTTGGTTCCATTTACAGTGGCCAATTGAGCCTCCAGGACTCCATTTGCTGAAGTCCCGTGGAAAAATACATGTTCAGTGATACATTCCCTTTCAATCCAGCAGGGGAACATAACAAATATTCATTTCGGCCAATGGAAGCAAGCACCCCTGAAAGGCGGAAAGCAAAGAAGCAAACCACCTTGTCAGAGGTCCTCTTGGAAAAAATAGATGGTCTTGGTAGGTTATTGAAACAACCGATGGGTCAACCAGGGCCATCGATGTTCTACCAAACTTGGTTGCTGTTGAACCCCCTGCAAAACGTTTAACTTTTTGGGGGTCTAGTGGAAAACACCTTTATGTCCCAAAAAGTTAAACTCTAAAGATCCAACCCAATAGCAGCCAAGCAAACAACGAAACCGGGCACCACGCCAACTAAAGCGCCAAGCCGCCAGCGTCGCCTCCGGGAGTTGCCAGAAGCCCAAGCTCTTGGCGCCTGCGCTTGCGTTCGGTTGCGAAGGGCGAAACCCGGACTGTCCGTGTTCTGATCCCTTGCGAAAAGTTTAGAACTTTTGGTGATGGAACACCCCGGATTCATAAACCCCTGTTGGTTAAAATGGGGGTGTTCCCCTCCAAAAGTGATAATTCCTCACCAAAACCAGGGAGAAACACCCCCATATGAATAAACAGGGGTTTATTCATCCGGGGTCTTCCATTCCGGGGAGATATGGCGAGGTGCCCCATTGAGCCGCCAGAGGCTCGCTCCAAGTCGATGTATCGAAGGAGCCCTCAACAGGGATCCGGGTGCATGGAAAAACACCGATCGAACATTGGCAACTGGTCTATTTGGTGTCCATTTCTTTCTTTTTGGTGTTGAAAGACCAAAAAGCCATGGCTCAAGTGGTTGCAAAATGGAGATCTTTCTTTCGGAGCCCTGCTCAAACAGCCAGGTTTTGAGACCGGGTCCCAAACACCGGTTTGCGGGGTGTCGATTGGATGGAGGTGTCGGGTCTTCCATTGAAAGCCGAAGCCAGGAGCCTCTGGGTAGGCAAAATGGAAACCCCCAAAACCCGAAACACCCGAACATGTCCTCAAATTCCTTGCTAAACGTCAATAACTGCTAGTGGGTTAAATGGAAAGCCAACCACTAAACCAGCCAAACAGTTAAAAAGCTCAAGAACCGGATGGCTGGGAACCGCCAAGAAATACATACCCTCCAACCCTTTTCACATGGAACCTGACGTCCGGGACCCGGTCCCTTTGAAAGGAACATGGTCTTCCGGAACATCTCGGACGTCAGGTTCCATGCTAATTGGTGGGAGGGTAAATATCATATTAATAAATATCATGAGATACAATAACAGCATGACATATTAAAAGTATTGCCAAATTGCCTGTCGCAAAATATCATGGCATATATTGGTAACACCAATCAGCTTCCCTCTGGCAAGCCTCCAGAATTCCTACACAAGTTCCGTGGGGAACCATCAGCTGGGAGCCATCTACAAGAAAGATTGGATGACAGCAACAGATTCACCAGTCTTGCCAATCGCTCATGTACGCACCCTTCCGCACACGGTCCCATAGCTCACTTGGGATAACAACGCCCCGCAAAAACGACACATGATCACATCATGTGTCCCACACACACACCGGGAGCTCATGACTGCATTTGAACAAACACTGGAAAGCTTGTCGGCAAATTCCTCTATTCCCGAAACCTGAACGAATTAAAGCACGTTGGGTTTAGAGCTCGAACCCCGTGAAAGTTGGCAGCTACAATTCGAGGAGTGAGCTCCTCGAAAATCTGTCAGAATGTTAAGAAAGTCGAGGGCATTGGCATCCCGGGGCTGTTCCTCAGCACAGGGACACCCTGTAGGTTTTTGGTTTGGATTCGACCAAAGGCATATCCCCCCCCCCCCCATTTGTTTGTTGCCCGGGCTTGGAGCGGCTTGGATTGCTTTGGGGGGTTGAACCCAGGTTCCCAGAGCTGTATGGACCAAAGGAATATATTCCCCGCAAGGAATGCTCAGCTTTCACTGACAGGCCCTGCGAGCTGCTCGTGAAGCCGTTGAGCAAGAGCAGAAGAGGAGCAAAAGGAGCGAAATGGTCCAAACGAGCAAGTGGAGCAAGATAAGCAACATGAGTAAAGGCGAGCAGATTGAGCAGAAAGAAGAAGATGAGCAAATCGAGCAATAATTGCAAAATGAGCAAATAAGCAACCTGAGCAGCATGGGCAGATTGTGGCAGCATGAGCAATGTGAGCAACAGTAGACTGCATGGGGAGGGGGGCAGCCCCCCCCATGCATTCCACTGTTGCTTTGTTCTTAAGGCCACCTCCATGCGTGGCCAACTAAACGAAGGGGGGGGGGGGCTGCCGCCCCCCGCTTCTTGGGCAGAATCAGCATGATGGGCAGGATTTGCGGAATGAGCGGAATGAGGACAAATGAGCAGAACAAAACCCCTGGCGCCTCGCATAGGAACCCTACCCTTAGGCACCCTCCACATGCGGACGGAACCCCCATGTTTCCCCTTGAACACCTCGCCCCGAAAAAAAAATCAGCAAGCTCAAGCCCGCGCCTGACCCACACCTACCCAAACTCCTACTGTGGATGGACAACATTCTGCACCACTTAGAAACCATGCTTGAAACCCTTGAACCGTTGGCAGTTGCAGGGGGATCATATCATTCTAAAACTTCTTAGGTGGTGCCTAAGAGGATTTTCTCCAGTCATCAACCCGCTTCCGCCAGAAATTTCTCGGTCACCGACGTCACAAAGGCGCTGGGACTCGGCCGCTCGCGCGCGAAAGGCGCGCCTTGCTCCAGGATCTCCTTGGCTGCTTGGCGGCCCCAGCCATCCGTCCTGCTCAAAAGCTCCGCGGCCTGCTCCCACTTGTGGTCCTGAGGACAGCTTTCTGAAGGGAAGAATTGAGTCATAATCAAAGCCCGGTACCAAAATGGTCGACCCAGAACCATGTAAAGAATTAAGAAGGCGGATATTCGCAGCTATTTATGGTTGGGATTGTCCCTTACTAACCTTCATCTACCTGGGTTTCGATTGTGGCTCAATTGGAAATGCCAGACACGGTATCCACCATGAGTTGATCCCCCATATTCCCGAAATCCCTTTGCGAGCATCTGGTTCAACAGCAGGCCACCATCTCATTCCCGCTGCTTCAATGGCTTTGGGCGCTCACAAATCGTTTAGGCTTCTTTGGCTTTTATTTGCTTTTTCGCCCCCCGGAGCAAAAAAGACAACAACAAATCAGACAACAAATCTGTAGTGATAGACTCCCTATAAAACCAACAGTAATGAATCCCCACAAACAAGGGACACCCCTGAATAATCAACCAGGGAAACCGTTAATCCCGGGTCAACATTGCCGAAGGCTGAACGAACGGAAAGTGTTTGTTGTTTCCTGTATGGCTACAAAAAGTTGGATCTTTGGACTTTCACTCTTGGGAAACAAAGGATTTCCCATTGGGTCCACAGAAAGTTACACCTTTAGAGCCGCCATTTGCCCCTCTTGCGATGGGGGCCGGGGCCTATGGCGGGGGCCCTCATGAGTATAACGTTCAGGAGTGTGGCTAAACCTGGTTCAACGCCTAGCCCGCGCAAAGGCCAAAGAGCGAAGGGGATGCACTGACTCACCAAACGTTGGAAACATTAAAAACACAAACAAAAAACAAGAAGGAAAACATCAAAACATGAGAAACGAGCCGCGAAACAACACATTTCTTCCCCAGTAACTTCCAATCTGCTCCAAGGCACCGCTTCAAACCAGTCGCAAGCATTTCCCCTTACTGAGGAGAAGCGAATCTGGGATTCTGCAATACAGTGGATGGACGAAATCCTGCACCACCTAAGAAACCCTAGAATGATATGATCCCCTGCAAATACGAACAAACAATGGTTTGCCATGATGTCTTGGGTGGTGCAGAATTTTGTCCATCCACAGTAGGTTGGAGAAGTACCGCTACATGGTGAGCTCTTATTCCCGCAAAACCCACACGGCAGCTAGAACTAGAGAACGAAGTCCTTGGTGGACGTTGGGTTAGCGGAGCAAAAATTGATATATATATATATATATTGTTTAGCAGTGAAGTGGATTTGGGTTTCAAAAACTAAACCACAAAAACAAAAATGGGAACATGTTCCCAACAACAACCATGTATAAACCATCCCTTGTAAGTTGGAATCCTTCCAAACCAGATCATTCCATTTCATTTGTTGTTTCATTTTTTCGGCCCATCGCAGCAACCCCATCAGACCGGACAATTCCCGTCCTGAAAAACCACCTCTCCCAAAGCCTTGAGATCCTTCGCGCTGACCTCGCCCCCGGACTTCCGCTTCGCCACGGGGGACCTCGGGTGACGGCGCTGGCGGCTTGAGGTGCCCGAAAGGGACTTGTGGAATTTCATCCGGGAAGTAGGTAGAAGGTCGGTGGGTAGTTGAGAACCCTAGGGTGGAGCCTGGGTTTGGTTGGGAGGTGTTCCGGGGTGAGAGGGACGCCAACAATTGGCGGAACGCCCAAAGCCAGGATTCTTCGTAGAGGTTCCTGAGGGAAAACAAGCCCCGATGAACCAACGTGTATTTGTTCCGCGCGATAAACAAGGAGAACTCTGGGAGTGAGCCTCCCGTGGAAGGTGGAGGGTCGAAAAATGGAACCCTTTGGGGTCATCATGGGCGATTAAAAAGGGGAGATCGGTGTGAAAAGGAGATCCGTGTTTAAGTAAAGTTACTATAGTCGGCACAAACCCCTGCAGGTTTGTGCACATCTTTGAAACGGATGCCCGCGCGCAAATGCTATGTTTGGCGGATGTTGGGCACCCGCATTTTGGATGTTTCAAGGACAGGGATCCATTTTCTGAGTACAGGTGGGTCAGAATCCCAGGGGTTCCTGTGGGAAATGAACCACCTATTGGTTGTATTGATAGGTCAGGCATATAAACAACAAGGCGGTCAGGCAATTGTTCTCTTGAGCCAATGTCATGGTAATATTTGTTCATGACGAATGCCTACCTGTCAACAACAGTTTGATCCCCTGTAATGAAGACATGTGAGCCTGGCCAAAGCAAATCTATCGGTTTGGTCCTCAGCGGAAACTTCTTTGTTTCCCCCAAAGGGGTGGAACTGTGGAACTCACAAATGTGCATCTGGCCTTCTGTCCTCAGATCCCTGCTAAAAGCTTGACTCTTGGTAGGTTGAATGTAAACAACCAAACCAACGAACGTCAACAAAGCTAAGGAACCGGACGGCTGAGAACCACCAAGACTAAAAGGACCCCAAAAAAAGACACAGCACATTTGCAGGGTGCATGAAGCATCGCACCAAGGGGCCCCGGATCTGCGAGCGCCTCGTCAATCGTGGTGCCAGTGCCATCCAGCGGTGCCAGTTCCATCAATCTGCGGCCGCATTGGTCGCAGTGAGGATGCCCTGGTCTACCGCACAAAATGCACGTCTCCATGGCGGATAGCAAATGATCCCCAAGGAACGGCCAAGCCGGA